AAGTACAAGAAAGGTAAGCAAATCTCCCAAATACAAATACAACAAACCATTCCCATCCTACCAGGCAGAGCCCACTGTGAAGTATTAACTTATTTTTAAGAACCAACCTGGCAACAAATTATAGCTCAACAAAGTGGACATTTCTAGCGTATAAATTCACAACCCCCATTTTGTCAATCCGCCGCTGGATGAAGTCCTCCCCAATGTCGTGTCGGTCATTGCTTGATCGTACATCACCGCGCTGGTCAGTGCTAGCTTGTGGTGAAAGTTGAATGGGGTGGGGGGGGGCGGATGGCCAGAGGGGAGAAGCTAGAACCGACCGGTTCAGACATATCTCGTCACTGAGCGTGAGGCATGGCGGGAAATCAAACTTGGGTCGCCGGGTTCATCGCGCGTTGCTGTAACCAAGCGAGCGTGCCGCAGCTCCACCCCCGCATGTTCTGTCTCACCTGAAGGTTCAACGGTTGAGGCATTCCATCGGTGTGTTATTGTTTTAGCCTCGCGGTTAATTTCACAACTCGAGTCGGCGGCGGTGCCACCCACCGCTGTTAGCCTCACCGTGGCGACGGCGGTGGCTGTGCTGCACGTGGCTGCCTGCACTACTGGACATCGGTGAAAAAAGGGCTTCGTAGCTCACCGGATTCCTCCTACGGTACAAATAAATATTCTGTAACAGCACTGTAGAGGCAGCAGCGAGATAGCAAATGTGGACTCCCATCCCATGGGATGTTGGCTATCAACAACAAGGCAACTCCTATGACTAATTGGGCATGGGACGCAAGTGTAGGATTGATCACCCTGTCGCTGGCCGCCTTTGGGTAGGGTGTATAGTGTGAAAGGCCGAAACACCCTAGGAACCAAAGGTACACTACTGATGATGCGCTCCCCAAATTTCACCAGGCTCACTGTTCATGAACTCTTGGAAGTGCTTGCACAAAGGATAGTAACATCTCATCCTGTGTTCTTGGAATCTGTGCGGCATAGAGTGCTGCCCCATCTCACGCGAGCGTGCGTTTCCCCCGGGTGCTCCGTATTCCTCCCCACGTGTGTGTAACAACTCATTTAATCGGCTCAGAACATCCTATTGCAGAGAGCACTGCAGAGCTTGGGCAATTGTAGGTAGCGCCGCCGGCTCGCCGCTGTAACCGTGTTCCCGCTCACCTATGGTTCCTCGCGCCTCCCAAGTCGCCGTCGGTGTCTCTTCGCGAGTGTGGAGCTAATACCTTGCGGTGCATCACAAGTCGGTGTTGTTAGATAGTGACGTCATTTGGGATTGCACACGGGAGGGGGAATTGTCGCCCATCTGCTCGCAGAATAATACCCGTTTTGCGGGGGGGGGCTGCTGAGATACCTCTTGTGTCCACGGGGATAGATGCCGCTGGGAGGGGGGGGGCGGTGTGCCCTTTCGAATGCTTCAGATGGCGATGCGAGTCGCTCTGAGACGCCCAGCGTGTTGGGTGCCGTGCGTAAAGAAATAAAAAGCAATCCGCTCTCGTTGTGCTGTCGTCTCGAAAGACCGCTTCGTCCGCTGGATGGGCGGAGAAGTCAACCTGGTTGCGGGGGCGACCTTTTCGTTCGTTAACCAGGGATTTGTGATGTGGCTTTCCCCGTATTTTTAAGCAAGAGTTTTGTGAGCTGGCGTGCGTGCAGGTGACCAGCTTTTCATAACCGTTTGTTTTACTTAAAGCTTTCGTGACTGCAACAATTCATACTCTCTGGGTCTTTCGGTAAAGTCACGTAGGTAGGTTCAAAGAAAATAACAAAAACTACGACGTTTAGCGCTTTAATTTTCGATTTAAAGCTTTCGTGACTGCAGGGATTCATCTTCTTGGTTCTTTCGGTAAAGTCACGTAGAGTGGAAATAATCAAACAATAAAATAAAACATTATACAATTATTCTTACGACCTTTCGGCCACAACACAAGCAGCCGTCCTCAGGTGAAGACCAGGTCTGTCTGTCTCCCCGACAGACAGACCTGGTCTTATGTTTTATTTTATTATTTTATTATTTCCATTCTACGTGACTTTACCGAAAGAACCAAGAAGAGGTTTAGCCCTTTATTAGTGGAAGCCACCCACCAGTGCTGTCGTGGCCCGCTACGAGTACCATCGCCTCTAGCGGCAACCTCCACCGTCAACACTGTGAGTGTCTAAAGCGAGGTGTAAATATTACTTGGCAGCCCTCAGCAGCGTCGTCGCCCTCTACGACAGGGGTCGGGAACCTTTTTGACTGGGAGAGCCATAAAAGCCAAATATTTCTAAATATATTTCATTGAGAGCCATATAGTATTTTTAACGTATAATAAATTAAATATGTCTTATTTTTAATGCGCCTTCTGGTGCTGCATGGTTTTGCTGATGGCCTTGTAGTCTGGTTCGTACGTGGTGAGGTTGAGCTTCGTGCAGGCGTGACCCGTGAAATTTATCTTCAAAACTAATTTCTGTTTACTTTAAAATGACGCAGTATTATTAAGCGATATCACAAGTATTTTAAAATCAGTTCCAAACTGATTTTTTTATTATTTTTTTCAACTCAAAATTGTCTGGGAGCCATATGCCGTCACTGGAAGAGCCATATATGGCTCGCGAGCCATAGGTTCCCGACCGCTGCTCTACGAGGACCATCTCTTACATTAACATTAGCTCCCCTGCTCATGCTGCTGACACTTGTGACATGCCCATTTCAAAACTTTATAAACAGTTCGCCTTTAGAGGCTTTAACTCCCTTTTCCTGATGCCGACCGCTTGTGTTGCGATCGAAACGTCGTTGTTTTTTATATTCTTGGTTCTTTTGGTAAAGTCACGTAGAAGGGAAATAATAAAATAATATAAATATAAAACAAAAATTTCTTGTTTTATCTCTATATTATTTTATTATTTCCCTTCTACGTGACTTGACCGAAAGAACCAAGAATGAATCGTATTTTTAGTTTTTTTTCTTTGAACCTATCTTCGTGACTTTACCGAAAGACTCGGAGAGTATGTTTTTTTTATTTACACCGGCTGCAATCAAACAGCTTAATCTGCACCGAGACCACTCCCAGATAAGATCACGAGATTCACGTAACTTTATTGGCACCTGGTACAGTCGACGACGTTATTACCAGCACACAGCAGCTTCAATTTTTGTGGCCGCCGTCTTCTTGTCGTGGGCAGCGCTTGTGGTCGGACGCAAACGTAAACGTGCAAAAGTACGCGTCCAGGTTTAGATTTGCGAGCCTCGCACGCTAACAACTCCGGCAACTAGCGCGACGGATGACGTCCAGACCGCCGGAGAGCAGGCCAGCTGGAGCACGGTCGTTCGCGTTTGCGTTCCGCGGTTTGGTTGACGTGACTGCAGCCACTGCACTATGGCGGTGGGGGAGCCGGGGGTGCGTGCAGGGTTTCGTTGTCTTTAACGCCCCGCGTGTGGAGGAGGCTCGGCAGCGACGGCCGCCGGTGGCCGCCGTTCCGAAGCGGTGGATGGTGGAGCGACCACGGCCTTTTTCTTGGCAGAACAAAACCACGCGGAGCAGCGGTGGTGGTGGTGGGGGGGGCACCCTCGATGAGGCTTTGACGAGGAACCTTGGCCGAGTTCCGCCGTGGCATTCGCGCCGATGGCCTTCAGGAAGAGACCCCCGCTTCGTCCGGTTGTCTCGCACGGCCGATCCCAAAATGTTGTTATCCGGGACCCCGGGCGATGTTTGCGGGTGATCTCGGTGTCACGGGAGGCTCCGTACACGTTTCCTCGCATTTTTTTGTTTGCCAAGTATGGTTTTGTTGTCGTCATGGCGGCGGAGGCGGCATACCACGGGAGGTTTTGCAGGCCTGATGTTGGGCCACAACGTGGAGCTCGTTTCGGTGGGAGTTCGTTTTGAGTTCGCCCCGTTGTTGTTATCGTTGTCGTTGTTGTTATCGTTGTTGTTATCGTTGTTGTTGTTGCTCAAACGACGGAATTCATCTGTGGGCTCCACTTTCGTTCTGTAGGCGCTTCGTGGGGTTGGAGATGGTAGCCTTTGCAGCAGGCCCCGTCTATTAAGTGTCTCTTCACACGGCTAGCGTTATCAATTCGGCCTTTTTTGAAAATCGTTGGTCTTTATGGCAATTTTGTGACCGGAATTGTATAACTTTAATGGCACTTAGTCAACAACTTTATTGCCACCGTACCACCGCTGCCACCAATATGACCGTATTCTTCGTATAAGAAGACAATTTTTATAACCTGTGTTCAACTCCATTCGACTCGACTTTATATCTTAGTCTCGTCCGTCCCGCTTTTCCCAGGGCGTCATTTTGCGGTGAAACTTTTGTTCATTTTTTTCCAAATGATCTCAAAGCTTGGGTTCTCATTACTTCCCGGAGCTTGTTATAATTTGCAGAATACGTATTTTCCCGACACTCGCCTGCAACGATTTAGAACCGGTGGGGCGCAAGAGCCTTTTATGGGAGGAGGGATGGAGGGAGGGGGGTGGGGAGTGGGCGAGGTGGACAACTTGCAGCAGCAGTTACAAAATCGTGCCCGGAGAACCTCGAGGGCCAGTTTGATCGCGAGTCTTGTTTCAAAATGGCCCTCGCGTAACGACCGGCGCCTTCCTTCCGTTGTGTGAGCGAGTCAACGACGGCAGCAATTGGCTAATCGTTGTTGTATTAATCTTTGAGCACTTTTATCCCGATTGTGCAATCCGTGTCACGTCACGTGACATTAAGGGATCCGATCGGAGCTCTCGCAGAGCGGCGGTGAATCGTACCCATGCGAGACATAATTTGGATATTGCATAGCTATCACAATCAGGATGTTGGTTTCTACTGGAGGAATCCAAAGCTATTTTGACACATGTCCCAGTACCTCTGAGATCCCCTGGAATGTTTCCTCTGCTCCACACGGTTGAGGGCAGCACTTGAGAGCAGCGTTCGTCGCGCAATGGCCAGAACGATAACTTTTAATCCTCGGGAGTTGGAGATTAGCCAAATTCAGTGCGGAAGTACATTTGACCTGATTGTGTTTTGTTGTTGTTGTGCAGTCATCGGTGAACGTGCTGTGAGACTACCCCACTTGGAGATCCCGGTTTAGTCGCTGGCGGCCGCCTTGGACTGCAACCCAGAATCTCGACGGTGCCACGCTCGGCAGTCTGACCTCTGGGCCACTTCGGCTGGTGAAATTTTAACTGCTTGTACTTTGATCGCACGAAAACTAAAAAAAAACGTCCACTTTTTTTTGTTCTGTAAACACAACGAGCTGAAACTTGTGTACAGAAGCGTGGAATTAGACTGAGAGACGGGACAAGAGGAAACGCTTCGATTGCTGCGTTGGCTTTCTGGTTGCCGGACGAATACATGATAAGGTCACACTCATTACACGCAAAGCGTTTGCCGCAGATGAACCAGGATTCCTTGGCTGTTCTCGTCAAGGAGCATAAACCATCACGTGAATTCCGGGTGTCCTCGCAGCAGCGGCTTTTAGCGAGCCATCGATCAAAGACGGTGGTCACCGCACTTTCAGATGCGCTTCTGTGGCCGTCTGGAACGCTCTTCCTTCCAAAATTAGGAAGCCGCTGGAGCTATGCACTTTAAAATCATGTAGATTGGAAGCTTATTTCTTTAGAACTGCTTTTTGTGTTTAGTTTGTCGTCCTTCCCCCGCGTCTTCGATTAGCACGGTTTGTTACGTACGGTGCAAAAAAGTTCATCATATACACGTACATATGTACCAGAGTTAGGTACGTCATCGCGGCCGAGACTAACGATGGAATGACGGCTAAAAAATGGATCTTGTACGAGGGACGGGCGCAGTGGAGATGGAGCCATGAGATGGGCTCGTGTGCAGGAGCGGGGTTGTTGTGTCACAGGCCAGGTGACGTGTTCACCTTTGGACGGCTGCCGCTCAGGGTTCTCTTGGCTAGACGACAGCAGGGCGTTGGAACGCTTGAGATTAAATAGTTATGTAAGACGCTCTGACTTACCGAGGCACTTTACGGAGCGCCCTGTAAATACGAATCCTTATCGCGATACCGTGAGAGATGGTGACGGCTTGAGGAGGCCTTCCTCCAGCAGTGGATAGATCATGACCGATGACTAGGCAAGAGCCCATGGAGAAGAGAAGCCTCGCTCACTAACTCACGATCGATCGTCTGTCTGTGCCTCTGAGATGTACGAGCTCTGCGCACCATCTTCCGTGCTGTGCTTTCCGACTCTGGAGTAAAACCGTTAATGCGTTAGCTCTGCCCATCTGTCCATTCGTTGGTCTGTAACGTGGGGTGACGATAGCTCTCGTTATGGATGATGCAATATGAACGAAATGTTACGGGGAGGGGGTGGGCGGGACTGAACCCTTGAAAAACCAGGCACATTGATTCATGGAACCGCCCCAAAATTTTGTGATTGAAAACCCAGCGACATTGCACAAGAACGTTCCGCCAAGGCAATAACGTCACATACCACGTGCCCTCGATGACGTCATGCCACGTGATGTCATTACTTATGACGTCATTACGTGTGTGACGTCAAGGGATGACGTCACTCTGCCCGTTAAGCAGCTCGATTTGTTAACGTTAAATTTCGATGCTCGGATAACCTCAGGGGAACGGGGCGTGAGATTTGCCCTACCCTTGCCGTTCCCTTCTCATTTATTTTTTGACCTCTCCAGTTTGGAGGTCGCGGCCGGTCGACCCATCGCTCACGCGACGCACGTGGTCGTGGTCGAGGTGGGGTGATCGGGGCGGGGTGGGAGCACCTCGGCGAATTAGCGACGGCGTTCGAAGCTGCCGGGCGCTGTTCGGAAAGGGACCGTCCCGCCGGACGTCGCTTCCTTCCCCCTTGGCGCGACCGCCGGCCCCCGGCCACCGCTAGAAGGGCGCCCACGCCGCACCGTCTCGTCACACGTAAGGTGCCGCCGGCGTCGGTGTTGTCACAGAGCCAGACCGACTTGATTTTGCCCAGACATCCATCCCATTGTTTTGACATCCGATTTGCACGTTTTGGCTACGTATGTTGCGTACAAAGTTCGGCGTTCAACAGAAGTTCAATGTAGCGGGACCACTCCTGGAAAAAAAACATGAGACTCGGCGAGGTCGTTCCTGGGTAATAAAGGACGTTGTGGTTGTTGTTGTTGTTTTATTGTTTACCGGCAGGGCAGTCTGTGTTTATAGGGACGCGGTGACTTGATGCTTGCATGATACTCGCTTGACCCTCTTCAAACATTCTCTTGACACCACTCGCCACTCAACGGTCGCCTCACCGGCCCCTCACCACTCACCTGACACCACACCACTCAACCAAATCTGACCCTCACATCTCACTTAATGCCACGCAGAAGTCAACCAAATCTGACCCTCACCACCCACCCGACACCACTCGCCAGTCAACCGATCTGACCCTCACTACTCACCTGACACCACCCACCACTCAACGTTCACCTCACCTGACCCTCACCACTCACCTGACACCACTCACCAGTCAACCAATCTGACCCTCACTGATTGGCCGCTGCCACCGTGATATTGACGGTCACGCAGCGCACTGCAGAGGTCGCAATCGGGTACCCGATACCCGTACCCTACCCGATACCCGGCTACCCGTACCCGGCCGGGTACGGGTACCCGTTTCCGACCCTGGTGCGGCCGGGTACGGGTAGGCCGTGAGTCACTGATGAGTAACTGTTTGTCACTCATTTCGGGTAGGGTACGGGTAGGGTACGGGTACCCATTTGCGACCCTGGTGTGGCCGGGTTACGGGTATGGGTAAGGAATCAAAACCCGTTTTTGACCTCTGGCGCACTGGACTTGCAACGCAGAGGTCGCCGCTGGTTCAATCTCTCGGCGTGGCACTCGAAACAACGACGCGATTTTCTTAAATTCCATTCCCCACCACTAACACTGCCGCCTCTGTCCACCCGGCAGTGCAAAGCTTCACGACCACATGTCAATCGGAGGCACGTTTGCTCGTTGGGGTAAAGCGTGGGTAATTCCCACCTCTTTGCGAGACACATCTGGCCCAGAAACTTAAAAAAAAATTCAAAGGGAAGGCCCACTGAGCTGTGTAGCTCTTTTTTCAGAAGCGACCTGGCCATCACAAATGATAGCCCAACGAAATGGCTGATCATCATTGTGTGGAAATTTATAGCAGCCAAATCCTCTTAAACGCGGGCCATTGATTCTAAATGTGGAGAAAAAAACCAGAGGATCCGGACAAAAATTCACGCAACCATGGGGAGAGAGAGAGAGACGCGCAAACTCTAAATATACAACAGCAGGCATCATCAGGGTCGGGATCGAACCCACGACCTCCTGCATACCAGACGAGGTAGTTAAGATCTCGCCACCGTGATGATGATGATGATGAAAGAGGGAGACACGCAAACTACAAATATACATCTTCTTGGTTCTTTCGGTAAAGTCACGTAGAATGGAAATAATAAAATAATTAAAATAAAACATTAAATAATTCTCACTCGACAGACCTGCTCTCCACCTGAGGACGGCTGCTTGCGTTGTGGCCGAAACGTCGTGAGAATTATTTTATTATGTTTTATTTTTATTATTTATTATTTCCATTCTACGTGACTTTATCGAAAGAACCAAGAAGATGAATCCCTGCAGTCACGAAAGCATTAAATCGATACAAATATAAAGCAGGCGTCCGGGGTTGGGATCGAACCCACGACCTCCTCCTTACCAGGCGAGGTAGTTAACGACTCGCCACCACGGCGCCCCATACACTGGTGTTTTGCGGAGGGCCGCTGCAGCCCTCACCTTCGTTGACTAACAACCACCGTCTTTGTCCGTTGGCCCACGCAGGGCCTCCTCTTGAGCGCGAGCGGCGGTCGGCGGCGGCGCCAGCGTCAGCGACATGGATCGCCTCGAGAGCCGGATCAAGGAGTTCCTGCAGAGCCAGGACACCGCCAGCATCGACGAGCTGGAGCGCCACCTGCAGATGGCAACGCCGGCCAAACGCCGGATCCTCGTTCGCATGCTCGAAAAGTTGGTCGTCGCCGGCACTCTGCGCTATTTGTCCGGCGGAGCGCTGTACGCGCTGGTGCCGTGCTTCGTGGCCGGCACGGCCAAGCGTCCGGCGGCATCGTCGGCCACCACCGGCACCTGGGACACGCCGAACCCGGCGAAGATTAAGCGGAAGGAGGAGTTGCCGGCATTCTCCAACCGGCGGCCAAATCACGTTGGCGGTGCGGCGCTAATGGCACCGCTGTATCCGTATCAGCAGGAGCAGTATCCGCAGCAACAGGAGCATGTGGAGACGATCTCGGTTCACGAGGCGAAGCCGTCGCCGGCACAGCAGGGTCCAGCTCCCGGCGTCCACAATGGCAAGAAGGGACCGGTGCAGCAGCAGCACCAGCAACTGCATCAGCAAAGCGGCATCGGCAGCGACACGGCGCAGAGCACGGCGTTGCCATTCATGGAGAATTTGGTGAATGTCGCACCGCTGGAGGAACAATTCGACACGAGCTACGGGGACGACGGCGCGGCCGAGAAGGTGAGGGAGCAGCAGCAGCATCTGGAGCAGCAGCTGGAGGAGGAGGAGGAGCAGCAGCAGCAGGAGGAGCAACGGGACGATCAGCTCATGCCGCAGGAGGAGGAGGACTCCGAGGCGGGCGCGGGGGTCGGATCGGGCCCCGCCGAGCCGGCTCCGGCCACGTGCGATGAGCACACCCTACGCTACCTCCTGCTGCTCAAGTACAAGGGCCGCGCCGCGGACAGCGCCGGCGCGGCGCAGCTCGCCCTCGCCGAGCTCGAGACGCTGATGCTCAAGAATCACGTGAGCGCCCTCATGGAGTTTAGCCAGTGCCGCTTGCTCGACTGCTCCTTCCGCATCGTCAACCACTCGGGGCCCTCGCACAAGCCCAGGTGATGCAGACCCCCCCCCCGCATCCCCCCCCCCCCCGCGCCCCCCCCTCCTCCTCCACACTGCCTCCACCCAAGCTCGTGCTTTGCCGCTCCTGCTCAAGCCTGTTAACGATGAGACAAATGCATCGTAGCAGAATAATAGTGCAGGCGGGAAAGCCGCGCGTTTCAAACGGTGTGTAAAAAAAAAAAGAAATCGATGAGGCTTTGTCCGTTGTGCAACCACACCGCCAGTGTTTCCTGAAGAACTGCACTGTGGTCCTCTTGTTACAAATGTGATCGACTGATGGGCAACAGTGATGCAGAGATGAACCTAATTAAGAAGTCCTAATACGGATGAAACTGACCCATAGTTGTCTATCTCTCCGCATCACTGCTGCTGTGACGTTGGTCACATTCGCTCACATTTTTTTTTTAAGTGACCAAAGACCGAGAGAAGACCACAATGCAGTTCTTGAGGAACTGCTGCTGCTCCTGCTGTTTGGCTGCGCAGGCGTTTGTGAGCGGTGTCGATGGTTGTGCCTGACGATGCAGCGGCGCTATTGGGTCAAATTCGGACGTTCTCTCCCCTGCCGCCTCTACACCTTGGCGAGCGCTGTGCTGCTCCTCCTCAACGTTATTTCTGTTGCTCCCGCCGACAAAGGCGGCGGGAGGGACGTCGACGGGAGGGGCGCCCGAGACGGTTTGCAGTTTCGCCGCTCGCTGCGCATCCCCGACTGGTGTGGGTTGTTGCGTGTGTGACGATGGTGTGGGTTGTTGCGTGTGTGACGATGGTATTGGTTGTTGCGTGTGTGACGATGGTGTGGGTTGTTGCCTGTGTGACGATGGTGTGGGTTGTTGCGTGTGTGACGATGGTATTGGTTGTTGCGTGTGTGACGATGGTGTGGGTTGTTGCGTGTGTGACGATGGTGTGGGTTGTTGCGTGTGTGACGATGGTATTGGTTGTTGCGTGTGTGACGATGGTGTGGGTTGTTGCGTGTGTGACGATGGTGTGGGTTGTTGCATGTGTAACGATGGTGTGGGTTGTTGCGTGTGTGTGACGATGGTGTGGGTTGTTGCGTGTGTGTGACGATGGTGTGGGTTGTTGCGCGTGTGTGACGATGGTGTGGGTTGTTGCGTCTGTGTGACGATGGTGTGGGTTGTTGCGTGTGTGTGACGATGGTGTGGGTTGTTGCGTCTGTGTGACGATGGTGTGGGTTGTTGCGTGTGTGTGACGATGGTGTGGGTTGTTGCGTGTGTGTGACGATGGTGTGGGTTGTTGCGCGTGTGTGACGATGGTGTGGGTTGTTGCGTCTGTGTGACGATGGTGTGGGTTGTTGCGTGTGTGTGACGATGGTGTGGGTTGTTGCGCGTGTGTGACGATGGTGTGGGTTGTTGCGTCTGTGTGACGATGGTGTGGGTTGTTGCGTGTGTGTGACGATGGTGTGGGTTGTTGCGTGTGTGACGATGGTGTGGGTTGTTGCGTGTGTGTGACGATAGTGTGGGTTGTTGCGTGTGTGTGACGATGGTGTGGGTTGTTGCGTGTGTGTGAGACGATGCTGTGGGTTGTTGCGTGTGTGTGACGATGCTGTGGGTTGTTGCGTGTGTGTGACGATGGTGTGGGTTGTTGCGTGTTTGACGATGGTGTGGGTTGTTGCGTGTGTGTGACGATGGTGTGGGTTGTTGCGTGTGTGTGACGATGGTGTGGGTTGTTGCGCGTGTGTGACGATGGTGTGGGTTGTTGCGTCTGTGTGACGATGGTGTGGGTTGTTGCGTGTGTGTGACGATGGTGTGGGTTGTTGCGTGTGTGACGATGGTGTGGGTTGTTGCGTGTGTGTGAGGATAGTGTGGGTTGTTGCGTGTGTGTGACGATGGTGTGGGTTGTTGCGTGTGTGTGAGACGATGCTGTGGGTTGTTGCGTGTGTGTGACGATGCTGTGGGTTGTTGCGTGTGTGTGACGATGGTGTGGGTTGTTGCGTGTTTGACGATGGTGTGGGTTGTTGCGTGTGTGTGACGATGGTGTGGGTTGTTGCGTGTGTGTGACGATGGTGTGGGTTGTTGCGTGTGTGACGATGGTGTGGGTTGTTGCGTGTGTGACGATGCTGTGGGTTGTTGCGTGTGTGTGACGATGGTGTGGGTTGTTGCGTGTGTGTGACGATGGTGTGGGTTGTTGCGTGTGTGACGATGGTGTGGGTTGTTGCGTGTGTGACGATGGTGTGAGGTGTTGCGTGTGTGACGATGCTGCGATTCCATCGGTTCACTTTGGAACCCTCTCCCACCCCTCCCTTTTCCAAGTCCAGGTGGGTCACATGACCATCACTCCCTCCTCTTATCACGGCCACGTTGCTGACCCTTAACCCTAGGTTCCACGGTGGCAAGATGTTAACTACCTGATATACAAGAGGTCGTGGGTTCAATCGTAACCCTGACGCCTGTATATTTTGGCGTTTGCATGTTCTCCCTGTGGCTGCGTTTTAGAGTGTTTGGCTGCTATAAATGTCCACGTGATGATAAGCCCACTTTGTTGAGCTCTCATTTGTGGTGGCCAGGTCATTCCTGAAAAAAAAGCTACAGCACCTCCATGGGCCTTACCTGGTAACATAAAAAATAGTAACACACCATTGGAACCTCATTTGCCAGTAAAAAATACGATAATTGTTTTTTTACCCTTCTATCTGGCAACAAAACTGATACCTTTTTACAAGGAGTCATGTTTGCATAGACCACAATACCTGCAGTCATAATGCAAACAAAAAACATAACTCCGATAATGTATACATGTATTATCAGAGTTGTGTTTTTTGTTTGCATTATGACAGCAGGTATTGTGGTCTATGCAAACATGACTCCTTGTAAAAAGGTGTCAGTTTTGTCAGAGTTATGTTTTTTGTTTGCATTATGACTGCAGGTATTGTGGTCTATGCAAACATGACTCCTTGTAAACAGGTATCAGTTTTGTCAGAGTTATGTTTTTTGTTTGCATTATGACTGCAGGTATTGTGGTCTATGCAAACATGACTCCTTGTAAAAAGGTGTCAGTTTTGTTGCCAGATAGAAGGGTAAAAACCAATTATCAATAGTAACACAATTTGTTTATATCTCTTTATTGCAACGTTCATCTTGACACCCTTCCTTTAGCTCCTCTTTATTAAAACGATCACCTGACCTCTAACCCTAACCCCCCCCAACCCCTATCCCCCCCCCCCCCCCGCCGCATACCCCCCACAGCTTCGTGTTTCAGGCCACAGTGGGGGGCCACTCATTTGCCGAGGCCGAGGGCTCCAGCAAGAAGAGCGCCAAGACAGCGGCCGCCACTGTGGCGCTGCACACCCTGCTGAAGGCCGCACAGAGCATGCAGGGCATGGTACGAGTGCCCGCGTGTGTTCGTCCACCCTGTGTGTGTACGTCAACTCTGTGTCAACCCTGTGTGTGTGTGTGTGTATCAACCCTGTCTCTGTGTGTGTCCACCCTGGGTGTATGTCAACTGTGTGTCAACCCTGTGTGTGTGTGTCAACCCTGTGTCTGTGTGTCCACCCTGTGTGTGTGTGTATATATATCCACCCTGTGTGTGTTTACACTGTGTGTGTCAGCCCTGTGTCTGTGTATCAACCCTGTCAACCCTGTGTGTGTGTATATGTCGACTGTGTGTGTGTCCACCCTGGGTGTGTCCACCCTGGGTGTGTCAGCTCCGTGTGTGTCAACCCTGTGTGTGCGTCAACTCCGTGTGTGTGTGTCAACTGTGTGTGTGTCCACCCTGTGTGTGTGTGTGTGTGTTTCCACCCTGTCTATTTGTGTGTTTCCACCCTGTCTATGTGTGCGAGTCCACCCTGTATGGGGGAGCAGTAGTGTAGCGGTGCGCTACGAACCCGGGGACCCACGTTTGTTTCCCGCTCATGGTCAACAACAATGATGATTAGTGGAATAGGTCCTGAACCTCAACCGAGTTCACCTCAAATGAGCACCTGGTGTGGTATCTAAATATCGCCACGAAGGAGAGAAAGACGCCCCGGCGTGGTGCTGGCCACTCACCCCCTCGTGTGCCGTGCCGGCCTTCATAGCTGCTGCTCGCTAACAGCACTTGCCCCAACGGTCTGTTTAGGCTACACGGGGGATCTTTGTCTTTGTGTGTGTCAGTGTGATGGGATCTGTGTGTGTGTGTCAGTGTATGTGGGGAGCGGTGGTGTAGCGGTTAGCGCGCTGCGCTACGAACCTGGCGACCCGGGTTCGATTCCCGCTCACGGCCAACACCAGTGACGATTATCTGAACCGGTCTTAGGCCTCCCCTAGGTCGACTCGGCCTCAAATACCCAGTGTGATGTGTAAACATTGCCACTAGGGAAACAAAGGCGGCCAGGCGTGGTGTTGGCCACCCATCCCCTAGTGTGCCGTGCCGGCCTTCATAGGTGCTCGCTAACAGCATTTGCCCCTACAGTCTGGTACAGGCTATACGGGGGATCTTTTTGTGTCAGTGTGTGTGCGTGTCAGTGTGTGTGTGTCAGTGTGTGGTTTTTGTGTCCGTCCGTGTGTGTCCACCCTATGGGTGAGCAGGTGGACATACTGTGTGTCAAGCCTGTGTCTGTGTCCACCCTGCGCGTGATCCTTTTTGTGAATCCCGCGTGCGTGTCAATCTTGTGTTCTGATCTCGTGCGTGATGGCAGCAGTACGCTCAGGAGCTAGATGCCAATGAAGACTTTATGAGAGAGAGGTTTTCTTGTGGTTTGGCTGTTCCTCTTCCGTTGAAGGAACGCAGAATAACAGTGGTTTACCCTATCTAACCCACACGACCCCCATTATGGATGATACAGTGTGCTTAAAAAAAATGTTAACACTTCTGAGAATTTGTAACAGTGCCACGATAAATGGGCCTCCGGGCTCTGGAGACCACCTGGAGAAGATTCCAGGCACGCGTTGACAATGATGGCGAACAAGTGAAGGAGACTCTTTGACTTTTTGAAGCTATTAACATACATTTGTTATCATGTTGCGGTGTATTATCCGTTCTTTTTTCATGAAAAGCGATAGTACCATGTATGTGTTCAAACATTTTTCAAGCGCCCTGTATTGGTCGCGAAAGCCTGCACGTTAAACTGGTTTACCGGGTAGGCCCACAGCTTGCGTTGCATGGCCCCAGTTACGTGTGAGCAGGGTTGGACACACCGGGAATTGTCCACCCTTTGGGTGAGCAGCGTTAGAGAGGGTTTCAAGTGACTCAAATTTTGGCCAGATTAGTCCAGCGGATGATACGTTCCCCTTCACACGTCCGTCGCTCCGCGTTTGTGAAAAAAGCTTGTCAGCCGCCACCACGGCCTTCTGCGAGTGCCGTTATCTCAGCAGCGTTGATTCAAGACGACCAATACCGGGACTGGTTTCGACGCACAGTGTCTCTTGTCAGCAGACTGAACGTGTGTGAGAAAAAGAGCTATGTAGCCCATCGGATTCTTCCGGTATAAAATAAATATTCTGTATTCTGATGTCAAACGTGGCTAGTTCGTTACGTGGCCTAACCCCTGAACTATGACGACCGTGGAACCGCGAAAAAACGTCGCGCCCACGTTGTATAACTTTTTGCGCTGACGCCCCGACCCCCGGCAGGACCCCGGTGGCGACGGTAATGGCCTCGCCTGGCCGCACCCGTGCCTACCGCACGCTCCGGCTCAACCGCAGCCACAGCAGTTGCCCGCGCCGGCGTCGTCGTCATCCGGCGGCGGGGCGGCCGCGGCGGCAACTGCGGGGGGAGGTTCGGCGGCGGCGGTGACGGGTGGGGAGTCGTGCTCGCCATCCGCCCCGCTGGCGAAGAACCCCGTGAGCGCCGTGATGGAGTACGCGCAGTCGCTGGGGCTGGCCTGCTCGCTCGTCGTGGTGGGGCAGGAGGGGCCGCCGCACGCTCCCAGGTTGGGGGCGCCGTGGTTATACCGCCGCTACCGTCGCGTCCGCTGCCATCGTCGCCGCTGCCATCGTCGCTGCTGTCTTGTGTTGAGCTTTGTCGTTCCTTACGCCGGCACCTCCCGATTTAGCACGGTCGGCTCCGTACGGCGCAAAACAAGTTGAACGTGCAGCGGTGCGACGATGAGAGTGTTCATTGCTTGGCACCTCCCTCTCCCTTCTCACACGAGGAGGATTTTGATCATCAGGCTGTCTCCTTGATACGACGGTGAAACTGCGTTCAATCGAGATGGCGGCACGTGAAGCTCCATGCGCTTGGAGAAGCTCGGGCTTTTACGGTCCATCGGCGGATTTATTTTAAAGAGCGTGGAGTTTTCATCCGCGCCCTCCAGTTTTTCCCTCCAACATTTCGAAACAAATGTGCGTTCAGGGTATTTTGCCGCTATACATTTCCCACGGGAAAAGCCACTTTAGTTGAGCTATCATTTGTGATGAGCCGGGTCGCTTCTGACAAAAATCTATTTAGCTCAGTGGGCCTTACCTGGTAAAATAAAAAATAGTTTGTAGTTTTATTCGCTAAATTTTTATTTGGCATCATCGCAAAAATCCGCATCTTCTTCGTCGACATTAAAAACTCGCAGCGCCTAACCGGTCGCCAGGCGTCTCGGCCGGCCGTTGTCACCCTCGCCTATAAAGCCCTGCCACTAACGGACGGCGCTGTCGCTCCTTGCCGCCTTTGCCTCCCTCCCTCCTCTCGCTGCCGATGCCGGCGCCGCCAGGTTCACGGTGCGCGTGGAGGTGGGCACAGAGGTCTTCCCGGCGTTCACGGGCGGCAGCAAGAAGCAGGCACGCTTCGGGGCCGCCGAGGCAGCCATAAGGGTCCTCGCCGGGCGACCTCTGACCCAGCAGCCGCCCTTCTCTGACACGTGCAACCCCTGGCCGGTGAGTGTCCGCGGCAACACAACACCCGGTGGTGGGTGACACTACAACCGGTGGTGGGTGACACTACAACACCCGGGTGTGAGTGACGCACTGATACCCGGTGGTGAGTCAGACTACACCTGGCAATGACTGGCACAACACCCGATGGTGGGTGACACTACAACCGGTGGTGGGTGACACTACAACCGGTGGTGGGTGACACTACAACACCCGGGTGTGAGTGACGCACTGATACCCGGTGGTGAGTCAGACGACACCTGGCAATGACTGGCACAACACCCGATGGTGGGTGACACTACAACCGGTGGTGGGGGACGCTACTACACCCGGGTGTGAGTGACGCACTGATACCCGGTGGTGAGTCAAGACTACACCCGGCAATGACTGGCACAACATTCGGTGGTGTGACACTACACTGGTTAATGAGTGGCACTGCAACACACAGTGGTGAGTGACACAACTACACCCGGTGGTGACACAACACCCAGTAATGAGTGATGTACCCGTGCGGCACGACCGCCGAAAGCTTTTTTCGCCGGAGAGCGCCGAAAAACGACGGCTTCCGATGAGGGAACGACCCCGGGGGCCCCCCCCCCCTTGCGCCCCCTGCGTTCCGTTTACTTCCGTTGCCGTTGAGTGGCGTGCCGTCGATGTCCTTTGCGACGGTCGCTCTATCAAGAAACCGTGGTCTGATTCACCTTCCCCACCACTATTATTTATTTTATCGCGGTTGTAGAGCTCCAGCCCAAAATCTGGAGGGGCCAAGTGGCCAGCAACTGGCAGCACCACTGAAAGTGTCGCGGATGAGGGGTTAAACGCGTTTCGTGCGTCGGGCAAAGGCCATCGTCCACAAAGAGACGTCGGTGGCGGGGGAGGGAATTGAACAGCTGGAGCGGTGTAAGGGAAGAAGCAGAGAGAGACGCGGTTGTGAGCCGGTGGGTGGGGAGCGGTGGCGGAGCAGTTGGCGCTATGCTGCGTAACGAACCCGACGCCCCCGAGTTCGATTCCCGCTCTAGGCCAACACCATTGACGATTCATTTTCTTGGTTCTTTCGGTAAAGTCACGTAGAAGGGAAGTAATAAAATAATAAAAATAAAACATAATAAAATAATTCTCACGACGTTTCGGCCACAACGCAAGCAGCCGTCCTCAGGTGAAGAACAGGTCTGTCGGAAAGACAGCATCTTCACCTGAGGACGGCTGCTTGCGTTGTGGCCGAAACGTCGTGAGAATTGTATTTTATTATGTTTTATTTTTATTATTTTATTATTTCCCTTCTACGTGACTTTACCGAAAGAACCAAGAAGATGAATCCCTGCAGTCACGAAAGCTTTAAATCGAAACCATTGACGATTGTCTGAACCGGGCCTGGGCCTCCCCTCGATCGACTCGGCCTTAAATGCGTAGCTGGTGCGGTGCGTAAAAACATCGGCACCGGGGAAACGAAGGCGGCCCGGGGCGTGGTGTTGGGCCAACACACGCCCCACACCGTGTGCCGTGCCAACTTTGCCCCAAGAGTCTGTTAGGACTGTGCAGGGGATTTCTGTGTTAGTGGGTGGGTTCGTGCGTTATCGTGACATCCATAGCGGTGTTTGAACACCGCGTGGGCAAGATGAAACGCTCCGTTTTGGTAGACCGAGCGAATTTGACGTTAGCAGTAATCATGGTAGTAGCAAGAGAAGGCCAATAAGCAGGCGACGGATCGCCGGCCAGCCAGCGGCTGGAGTGAATCGACGGGTGCTGGCTCATCAGTCGCCCGCGACAGTGCTCGGCGCTGGAAGCGAGAACGATTTATCCGCGCGTGTCCGCGTGCGCGTCACGGGTGCCGTCCCGCGTCTCGTGAAATTTACGTGGCTCGTGAAATTTACGGGGCTCATCCGTAACGAGCGCGGAAACAGCCGGGGGCTTTCCTTGTGTGTGCCCGTGCTCGTTGTCACGGAGCTACCTGCTCCGGTGGCGACAATGCGCGCGGTTACATTTTCTCTTTTCTCGCATGTTCGTCCGAAGAGAGGGGGGGGAGAAGAGAGTTGGCTATGCGTGCGCGTGTTACATGTGCATAGGTCAACCCGGCCTCAAATTAATACTTGGTGCGATGTGTAAACATCGCCACTGGGGAGACAAAGGCGGCCGGGCGTGGTGTTGGCCACCCACCCCCTCGTGTGCCGTGCCGCCCTTCATAGGTGCTCGCTAACAGCAGTTGCCGCAGCAGCCTCTAAAGGCTATATGGGGGATCTTTGTCTTTGTGTGCTCGTGTGTGCGCGTATCTCCGTGTGTGGTGGGAGACAAAGGCAGGTGGGGCGTGATGCTGGCCACCCACCACCCCCTTGTGTACCGTGGCAGCCTTCATAGGTGTTACTTGCTAAACGTAAACTAAGCATTTTTTTATTTTACCAGGTGAGGCCCACTGAGCTATGTAGCTCTTTTCAGAAACAACCACGAAAGATAGCTCAACGAAGTGGCTTATTGTGTGGAAATTCATATTAGCCAAATACTCCAAATGCACGATGATTCTAAATGTGGAGGGAAAAACCGGAGGACCAGGAGATAAATCCACGCGACCACGGGGAGAGAGAGAGAGAGACGCAAACTCCAAACATACAGGCGTCAAGGTCCGGATGGAACCCACGACCCTCTGTATACCAGTGAGGTAGTTAACATCTCGCCACCGTGCTAAAAGTACTTGCCCCGAGAGTCTGTTACGACTGCACGAGGGGCGCGGGGCGGGATCTTTGTTACATGTGCCACCCGTGGTTAAAGCGGGGTCGCATGCGGCAGCGAAAGGCAATGGTCCCAGCCTGGAAAACTCATGGCTGCGTGCAAACAAATACATTTGAGGCTCCGCATTGTGAATCCGCTGCTGGATGAGGGCCTCCCCACGCCGTGCGGGTTGGAGGGTGGCGAGGGGCGGCGGGGGGTGTTTGACCATGCTTCACCGCGCCGGCCAGTGCGGGTCGATGAAGCCGGAGAGCGTAGATGTTGTAGCATAGCACGGTACAATAGAATTATAAATGTTGTGGGTTTACTCTCCAACACGCAACCAGTTAGTGCTGTCCGACTAACGAATTGGCACGTCTTGTTTACGTGACAAGCCCTTGCTAATTGTCTGTCGGGTGGTGGCGTGTTTCGCGACCCATTTATATTTACGCGATCGAACCCAAAAAAACCTCTTGCGGTACAATAGATTTTACTACTGACAAACATTCGCCGCTGCGGTAGCCACCTACAGCACCTGCGCTTATGTGTGATGGTGGTGCTGGTGGTGGTGGTGGTGCTGGTGGTGGTGCTGGTGGTGGTGCTGGTGGTGGTGCTGGTGGTGGTGCTGGTGGTGGTGCTGGTGGTGATGCTGGTGGTGGTGCTGATGGTGGTGGTGGTGATGGTGGTGGTGGTGGTGCTGGTGGTGCTGGTGGTGCTGGTGGTGGTGGTGGTGGTGGTGGTGGTGCTGGTGGTGGTCGCCCATCCTCGCGCTTGTTCCAGGCTCAACGCCCGCTTAACTTTTCAGACCCCTTTTGTCATTCCACTGCGGGATGGGGCGCAGAGCGTAGACATTGGGGCGTATGAGTACGGTACAACAGTGGAGTTTGGTGCACTGCCGTGCGTGGCCCTGCAACCTGTAGCAACTGTTACGCGTGGTGGTGCTGGTGGTGCTGGTGGTGCTGGTGGTGCTGGTGGTGCTGGTGGTGGTGGTGGTCCATCCCAGCGCTTGTCCAGGTTCATACCCCCGCTTGGCTTCGCAGATCCGACGAGACCCGGGCGCATTCCTGCTAATTATGGTGGTAGGCGCTGGGACACCCGTGTCACCGTGGCGACGGAGACCCCCAGGTCGACTCGGGCGGTGCCAGGGTGGGGGGGTGATTAGACACGGTCGTCGTCGCTTGAATGAAGATGAGGAGCAAAGTAAGGGCGGCATCATGGGCATTGCAAGAAAGAGATTACCAAACAAAACTTGTTTTATTTTACCAGGTAAAGCCCACGGAGCGACGTAGCTCTTCTTTCAGACGCGACCTGACCATCACGAATGATAGCTCAACCAAGTGTGGCTTATCATCATCATCGTCATCACGTGGATATTTATTGCAGCGGCTAAATAACTCTAAAACTCCCCTCCCCCCAGAATTATCGGTACATTAACTGTGACAGTCTCTGTAAGAAGGGAGCGAGGAGTTGAGTTGGGGTGCGATCACAGCAACCCGCCCATGATTATTGCACCATCGCAGCGGCTCATCCATCGCTGGCGCGTTTCATGGGGCTGCTGCGAGTTTTTTTCATTCGGGAACGGCCGTCCCCCCCCCCCCCCCCGACGTTTCGCGCCGCCTCTTTGTCGGCAAAGTCGCCGTCCATCGGCGGATCGTGGGAGCAAAGAAAATATACGAGCATCGCCGCGCTTATGAAAGCGGCAGCAGCGGCGACAGTCTAGTAGTCTTGGAGTCCGCTGGTGTTTGTTTGTGTTGATTTTTTTGTCGATTTTTTTTCCCCTTCTCGTCCCCCCCTTTGAGTCATCTCCAGATGCTCTCGAGCCCCGAGGCGGATGATTGAGTGGGCGGGCAGGCGAGCGGGAATCTGGAGGTTTCGGCACAGAGGAGGGGGAGAGACAGCTAGCCGGGCGGAGGGGGGAGAGCGGGAGGGAGGGAGGAAGATTGATGCGCAGGATGCAGGAAGATGAAGGAAAGGAAAATGAAGGGTGAACAGGGAGATGGAGGGGACGGCGAGTGATGGAGTGAGGGAGAGCGAGAGGCGGAGTGGGGGTTATAATTAGAGTGATTTCTGTGAGTTAAGCTTGGGGTTAAGGCTATGGTGAAGGTGAGAGTGAAGGTTAGGGCTTGGTATTATTGGGCCTTGGACCCTTGTTTAGGCCTGGATGAGGGTTCTGGCGAGGGTCTGGGACATGTGTGCGTCCGTGCGTGCGACCGTACGCCCGAGCGTGCGCCCGTGTGCGACGTTGCGTGCACCCCCTTGCGACGTTGCGTGCGCCCCCTTGCGACGTTGCGTGCGCCCCCTTGCGA